TTTAGAAAGATCTAGTCAAGTTCTAGAACGCTTATAAACAACAGTTCTGAAGAGCGTTTGTCTTAAAAGCTTATGTCTGTGACTCTAATTGAAGAGCTTCTGAAGATATCAAGATCTGAAGATTTTGTGCTCTCAAGTTTTGAGACTCTGAAGAACAAGTTCTGAAGACTTGGTTATGAAGACTCTGAAGAAAAGTTTCTGAAGACTCTCTTGCTGCTTTTGATCCTTCTAAACACGCTTCATCAACACACATTATGAAGCCTTTGAAGATTAAAAGATAAAATTAAAACGGTTTTACATGAGTGAATAGTACATGATACAAGATCAAATATTTTTTCCACTACACTGATTTTATGGCGCAAGGACTGTACTATAATGCGATGTTGTCTACCACTCTCACTGACTGTTATGAAGAATACAATTGGAATTTAGAATTCTCATTCTATCCTCTAACAAATCTTTCTATGCCTATATAAGAAGCCCTTGGAAGAATGGAAAGAAGAACTTTTTACAAGAACTTTTCACGTGAACGTTTTTCAAGAGAAACATTTCATATTTGTGAGAAAAGCTCTAAAGCAAGGAACTTTTGTTCATATACTTGCTCAATTTTTTTAATTAATCGTTGTATTTCAATTTTTTTAATCTTATTTCATAGAAGCATCTTTTAAAACACACCTTTTGTATCATAACTTGTGCGTTGTTTATTCCTTGAGAGACTAGGGTATAGTCAGAAGTCTCAAGAAGACATTGACAATAGGTTTTTGTAGTTGTAATCAATTTGGTTATAGTGAATTAATCCTTGAGAGAAGGCGGAATCACCTTGGCGGGTGGACTGAAGGTAGCTTCGTTAACAACGAACCTGGATAAAAGTATTGTGTTCATTATTTTTATTCCAAGTTCTTTGTTCTTTGTTCTTTGTTCTTTGTTTTGGGTTACGAAAAATTTCAATCTAGAAACCCAATTCAAACCTCTATTTCTTGTGTTTACTCAACCTTTAATTGGTATCAGAGCTCGGGTTCTAGTATTGATTGTTTATCAAACACTTAACCGTGTTAGATAAAGAGTCATATTTTTGTTGAAATACAATGGTGTGAATCCCTCCACCAGTTGCACCCGTTGTTAATGAAAGAGATCACTATAGTGGCAAACCTCCAGTTTTTGATGGAGAAAAGTTTGACTATTGGAAAGATAGAATTGAAAGTTTCTTTCTTGGCCATGATGTAGATTTATGGGATATGGTAGTTGATGGCTACATACATACTATTGATGATAGTGGTAACAAGTTAGAAAGAAGAGTGACGACTGATCAACAAAAGAAAGACTACAGAAATCACCACAGGGCTAGAAAAATTCTTCTGAATGTTAGTTCTTACATTGAGTATGAGAATATCATAAATAAAGACACATTTAAGTCTATATTTGATTCTTTGAGGATGACTCATAAAGTAAATGCTCAAGTTAAAGAAAGCAAGGTGCTTGCCTTGATACAGAAGTATGAGTCCTTCAGAATGGAAGATGGTGAAACAGTTGAGAACATGTTCTCAAGATTTCAGACTCTTGTTGTAGGAATGAAATTTATGAACAAAGGATACTCTACTGCAGATCATGTCAAGAAGATTATCAGAAGCTTACCCAAAAAATGGAGGCTATGGTAACTGCATTGAAACTGTCTAAAGATCTGAACAACATTTGTCTTGAAGAACTTGTTAGTTCTTTGAGAACTCATGAGATAGAGCTTGAAGAGGATGAGCCTCAAAGAAAATGAAAATTGGTGGCTCTCAAATATATGGGAAATTTTGAAAATACTAAAGTCTTTCAAGGCGAAGGGGAAAAGGAATATGAAGAAGATTCTGAAGAAGAACATGATCTACCTTTCACATTTAATATAAAAGACTTTTTCTTTGATGAAAGTAACAAAGTTGAGAAACCTATAGTGTTACCAATAGAGACGATGAGTATTTTATTTGTATTCTCTTCTTAGCGTGTTCATCTTTACACGATGATCTTTTATCTTCTTCTACTACAAATAACCTCTTGATTGTGAATTGATGTCAAATTCATTATCCTTTTTGTTGCATCTTGTTATATGCAATTGTTTTATTGTATTTAGTGATTTATAGAGTAAGTTGATTAATCTTGTAGTTTTCATGATTAATCAATATCAAGAATATCATCTTTCCAAGATTCATTCATCTAGAAATTTGTTAGAAACTTGTGTTGTGTTCTACTTTCATATACATCTATACCTTGACTAACACCTTGTGTTATAGTTTGGTTTGTGATATTTCTAGACATTGTTCATCATCTTCATCCATATTCATAATTCTATGTTTATGCTCCTCCACCTCTAAAGATTGAGTGCTCGAGGGAGACTAATTTTACATTAGGTTATCAAATATTTTTTGTGTGAAGTTTATTGTTTGTAACAGGTGCGGGTATCGTTTCTTGAATCCAGTTTTGTATACTTGATATTAATCAAGAAGAGTGTTTCAATATACTCCATAAAATACTTTGGAGAGACCAAATATCAACTACCCGTAGCGTGGGATTGGAAGTTATCCATTCTTGATGGAGTTGGAGAAAGATTTCTCGCAGACAAAGTTGGAAGTTGTCCAATGAATGTTTAGCCATGACAATCGCTCAAAACAAGAAATTAACAAGGGTGATCAGTTGTCTTTTCCTATTGGTGAATAAGGATGACAAATGGTCATGTCCATCCCGTTTATTCTCGCCTCACAAAAGCCCACAAAAAATAGAGCGAATAAGGCGTGCATTTTTAGGGTGTGGACCTAAAACTTTGGCCCGTCCTACAAAAAAATAAGGCTGAGGTGGGGCAGACCCGCAGGAAATGTACCTTTAACGCGTAAAAATTGCACAAATTCATCTTAATGTCGGCGCCCATAAAAAAATTAGGTGGGGTGAGACGAACATATTAAAGGGTGCATGCCTAAAACCTTAACTTACCCCGATAAGCGAAACCCGTTTTTCCATCCCAAGCGGTGAAATGGGAAGTGAAAGCTTTGCATTGGTCAGATTAGGAGTCTATGCTTTTGTCCTAGAGGGGCATAAACCTGGCTTGGGAAGACTTGGTTAGGGTCAACGCAAAGAGTCTGCGCTTCACATCTCCATTGGCATGGTAGTAGTCAATCCGATCAACTACATGGTTGACATGTTCGTATGGATCTCAATTTTCGTTGTAACTTTGGGATCCTAACGTCTAATATGTGAACAAGCAGAGGATTTTTCTTCTGTGATCAAATGGGGGTTCATCTTCCTCCCTTTCTCTTCTCCTTGGTCGCATGCCTCAAAAGGAATGCGAGTGTCTCTTCTTCCTTCTGGATTTAGGGAAAGGGAAGGAGCATGATGTCCATGCCATCAGCGCTTTGAGATTTTTGAACTTCTCTTGGATCCTTTCTTGGCTTAGTGATTTTATTTGAAGTCATCTCCAACACGTTGTTGATATTCGAAAACTATAGCACTATATCTTACAAACCTTGTGTTAAAGAATTAACATGATCCAATTGTTAATGGATTTGGAATTGCTATGTTTCTGAAACTGATTGAAAAAACAGTAATCTTTGACCCTAATCCTCACATTGTTCTTTTTTTCCTCTCAATCTATATTTTTCAACTCATTGTAATTAATGATTACTTCTCTCTCACAATTGATTTTTTTTAATCAAAATTATATTAAAAAATACTAAAAATATTAAAAAATAATATTACTACCTTTCTATTAAAACTATTCTTTAGTGTGTTAATATAAATCAATGAAGTTCTTGCATTTATCCATGATAAAAATTCATATTTTGTTAAGCACTTGTGGCGATCTTACAATTGGGCGTGGCGTGTATCCCTTAATCTTGAAGGGATTCTTTGATACACCCTTAGGACTTTTAAGTATTTTTAGCGAAATTCCTTGTAATATCTCTTAATATTTATATCTAAACTATCACCTTTCAATTTGTTATTGAATATGTTGAGAAATCTATATCAGAAACTATCGGATGATAGTTTTAAACACGCATATCTGAAATAATTCATGTTTATTTATTTATTTTAAAAATAAAAATTATTTCAAATAAATATATTTGAATTATGTAAAATCAATAACATATTGTATTTTAACAGAATTAGTACTATAGAAATATAAAAAAAAATTAAATCGGTAAAAGTACACAGTGGAAAAATGTTGAATAGATATATTGTATATGAATTGAATCATATATAATTTACATTGTGCACGACAATATTTTCAAAAAATGATTCGGTTACATTCTAAAATGCACCTACACCACTTAAATCTAAAATCCATTCTTTCTTCGAGTTCTCCCTATTTCATCTTTCATCATGCAGTAAACTGAAATAGCAACAATATTTTCGAATATGCATATCCAAAAATATCACTATTTAAATCAAACATTTAAATAATGATAACGTGTAAACAGCAGATTTCCAGAAAGATATTTTCAAAACACCTTAAAAATTAATTTAAAATAATATTATAGACTTTTTAAAAGTTTATTTCATCTCAATAAAAATGTATTAAGAAATTCTCAATCATGAATTGGAATTTTGAAGAGGCCTAACAACACATTATTTTTATCGATACAATTACAGATTCCATCAAATTACGTGAATCTTATATAAATTTCAGTTATCAAAAAAAAAAAAAAGTTATGAGAGTGTTTTTCTTTTATCATTTATTTCAATTTTTTACGCGCACTTCGAAAAGGAATCTTAAAGCATCTGCTTCCTGGAAACATAGCAGCAATGTTTTCGTAAGTGGAGTAACAACTTTAACACTTAGTAAACGTTATGCGTTGACGCTTCTAGTTTGAAGCTAAAGAAGAGTCATTTTTATTTATTGATTTATATAGTATATATACTCAAGAACCCAAAACGTCGATATTCAACAATAGGCTTAGACCATAGTGTTACTCACTCTATTTGATCTTAATAATACCAATAGGCCAAATACCTTGTAACAAAAAAAAAAAATGTTCCGATCATCTTTGTTTCCTAGGGTTCTCATATGTGATGTTCGAATGAAATGTTCCCTCTCAATTTTATGGAAGTATGTTTCCCATTATATAAAATGTCGCATCATCAGTCTTGCAAGTTATTATTACTCTAATGCTGAAGAACATGCAGTGAAGCAAGGTTTGAATAACAACATTCAAAGTGGTGTGAGACTGTGCAAAGAAGAAATCATAGATGTGATGGAAAAGCTGGGATTGAGAGAGGAATTTGATGGGGTTAGTATAGTGGAATTTGGTGATGAGCAAGAAATTAGTAATATGTTTGAAAATGGGGTTAGTTTGGAAGAGGTGGAAGAAGCTTTCAATGTGTTTGATAAAAATAAAGATGGGTTCATAGAGGCTGTTGAGTTGCAAAGGGTGTTGTGTTGTTTGGGATTTGAGAGAGACTTTGAGGAATGTCAGAAAATGATTAATGCTGTTGATGAAAATGGAGATGAATTAATTGATCACTTTGAGTTTGTCAAGTTGGTGGAACAGAGTTTTAGTTGAATACTCTTTATTTTTGGCACTACTTGTTCGTGTCTATTTTATGTATATATATGGTATTTCCTTAGGTTTGAATTTTATGGCATTATTGTAAGACAACATAACATAAAATAAAAGTTCACTTATTGAGTTTGCTCTCTTAATTTTTTTATGAATTTATCATATAGCTCTAGACGTTATTTGGTTATACACAAACAATTTAGACATTATAAATGAAATAATTATTCAATGTCTAAAATATAGGTTAATAGAGAAAAACTTGCCTAGAAACGAAGGTATATCTTTATTTTTTTAAATAATCAACCACAGATATTTTATTAATTAAAAGATAAAAATAATTATTTCTCTCCATTATAACCATCACCCTCTTATTCTAATAAAACACATATAGAGATTTCTCATCATCTTTAATCTCTCATATATACATACACACAAATAAACTACACATAATTATTTTTTGTTTGGGTGCTATATAGACTTGTGTTGATAACGTCCAATTTATGTTGGTGTAACCGGTCTGATGTATTGGGTTAAAAATCTTGGGGGTTTCATTTGGAAAAACCTTATGGTTTGTCCTTCAAGATCATAGTGTTAATTTAGAGGTTTGCACAAGATTTGACAAATATTGAATTTGATCGAGTGATAGCTTCGAAGAACGGTAGGTTTTATTAAAGGAGTAGCGTGAGACAATGAATCATTTGGATATCTTAGGACACGATAATACACAATTGGATTCGATCGAGTGAAAGATTTAAAGAACGGGATTCTTGCAAAGGAGTAGCGTGAGACAGTGAATTAATTGTGGTATTACAAGCTCTGGTTCATTCCGTGCTTCAAAAATGTTTATTAGATAATGGCTACCGAACCTAAATAGACGTACAATAAAGTGTCTATTTTCACCAGTAAAAACTACGGTTATTAGAATTCTTATATTCATATTCATATCAATTCATATGATAATGGAGTATGGGATACCATTAGCAACAGTCCAACTTAAATTACCGTGACCGATGTTAATGGTGTTATCACACCTAAACCGGAAGCACAATGGAATTATGATGATAAGAAAAAGTGGTGTTATGATGGGAAATCACAAAATATTCTCATATCCTCTCTTGGTGTTGTTGAATTTTATCGTGTTTCCCACTGTGTAACCGCTAAAGCTATGTGAGACACATTGTAAGTTTCCCCTGAGAGAACTAATCAAGTCAAACAAGCTAGAATTAATATATTAAATCAAGAGTTTGAACTATTTCTCATGAGGCATGGTGAAACCATTACCGAAATGCAAAAGAGATTCTCTCATCTCATTAATCGTTTGAATGCACTTAAGAAACCGATTTCCAGTGAAATTTCTACTGATAAAGTTTTGAGGTGTCTTACTAGGAATTGGAAACCAAATTGATCACCACCATTAAGGTAGCTAATGATCTTACAACACTAGATATCACTACATTATTTGATAAGATTGAAGAACATGGGCAAGAATTCACTTGCTTGGAGAAAAATGAGAAAAAACATGAGAATAAGTTAAAGAAGGAGAGAGGTAAGGATAAAGAGGTTGAAAATATGTATATTACTCTAAAGGCTTCTAGCTCTAGGTCCTCAACAAATGAACAAAGTGATATTAATGTTAGTGATAATGAGAATCTGGATGATGGAGAAATAGGGTTATTTATAAAAAGGTACAATAAGTACATTATAAAGAATGGAGTAAGACACTCCGAATAAAACCTCATCAAGTCTAGAAGACATTCTACATCCTCAAAAGAAGATGACAACAAGAAAGGAAAATCAATACTTTCATGTTACAATTATGGGAAATCTTACCATTACAAGCCGGATTATCGACTCATTTATAAAGATAATAAAAAAGGTAACGCAAGAAATCTAGCAAGTCTAGAAGAGCATATGTTGCTTTCGGAAGCGATAGTGATTCCTCAAATGATGAAGACTTAAGTGATAATGAAGAGTCAACAGTCGTTTGTCTCTTGGCCCATTATAATGAAAATAAGAAAAAGGATTTAAAACATCACAATGTGATGATGTTTGTCTCTCGGGCTATTATAATAAAAAGAAGAAAAAGGATATCAAACCATCACAATATGTTGAGGTTTGTCTCTGGGACTATTATCGTGAAAGGAAGATAAAGAATGTAAGTCATTCTAAATATGAACATATTGATAGATTGTCTCATTCCGAATGACAAGATGATTTTGAAAATCTATAGAGAAGCGAAATAGGCTTTTAAAAAGTTAGCTTCAAATAAAAAAGATTTTTTCATAAGCAAATGGAAGCTCTAAAAAAATCTATGGTAGATAGTCTAAAATTTAAGAAAGATGATGAAGAACCTTCATGGTTCAATTGTAAAACTTCTCACGGTTGGCAAAAAAAGTCTAAAACCAAATTGGATAAGGCATTACAACCAACAATTACAAGGCATTACAACCAACAGTTACATTTGCTTTTGATCCCTCAAAGTTTAAAAAATATTTGAATAAACCTTATAAAAATTATAGCTTTGTTAAAAATGATTCAAATAGCAAAAGCAAAACTCTTTATAATTTGACTTATCACTATTGTTGCATGAAAGATCACACTATTGAAAAATGCAAATTTAGAAGCTTTTTGATTCCTAAAGGTGCTTCTCAATGGTTTCCCAAATGCATCCATATTTTCACTCACTCTCTATGACCCAATGAAAGTTATGTGCCTATCACATTTATTTTATCTTGTAGGTAAAATGTCCTGGCTTAATGGAGAGAAGATGGATTCTTAATAGCGTATGCCCAAGGCATATGACGGGAGACATTTCCATATTCTCCAACTTTGTGGTGAAGAAGAAGTGTTTTGTATCCAATGAAGAAAATAACAAAGGTGCATTACTTGAAAAAGGTAGTACATGTAATCCCCCATCTACTACTATCACTGATGTTATGTTAGTTGAAGACCTTAAACATATTCTTCTTAATATTAGTCAATTGTGTGACAATGAGTATAAAGTACCATTTACAAAAACTCGTTGCATGATAGTATATAATGTAAAGAAGGATCACATGCTTAATTGTGTGAGGGTAAACAACATTTATATGCTTGACTTGGATGATTTATCTTTGACCAATGCTAAGTGTCTTGTTATCGTTAATGAAGACTCATGGTTATGGTATAAACGCTTAACTCATGTCAACTTTGATTTACTATAAAAAGTGGTTTCAAAAGATTTAGTACTTTGTCTACCTAAAATAAAGTTTTCAAAAAGAACACCTATGTGATGCATGCCAAAATAGAAATAAAACAAGAGCCTCATTTAAATCAAAAAATATTGTTTCAACTTCGATACCTCTTTAGCTTATCCACATGAATCTGTTTGGTCCCTGGAGAACTAAAAGCCCACGTGGTAACTACTACGGTTTTGTTATTGTACACGATTACTCTAGATTTTCTTGGACCATCTTTTTGCGTAGTAAAAATGAGACATTTTTGGATTTCACACGTTTTACAAAGTTATCCCAAAATAAATTAAATTCAAATATTGTTTCTATTCGAAGCGATCATGGAGGTGAATTTGAAAACCACCTCTTTGAGGAATATTGTGATAAATATGGCATTGAACATAAATTTTTATCTCCCAGGACTCCACAACAAAATGGTGTTGTGTAGCGCAAAAATTGTGTTTTAGAGGAGTTTCCTGGAACAATGCTCAATGATAGTTGTCTACCTAAATATTTTTGGGCCGATGCTATTGGCACGGTGTGTTATTTCTTAAATAGGATACTTATATGTCCTATATTAGAAAAAACACCCTATGAAATTTTAAAAGGTAGAAAATCAAATTTATCACATCTTCATGTATTCAGATGTAAATGTTTTGTTTTAAACAATGGTAACGATAACCTTGGAAAATTTGAAACGAAAGCTAATAAAGTTATCTTCCTTGGATACTCTCAATCAATTAAGCTTATAGAGTATATAATAAGATATAACTTATTGTTGAAGAGTCAATACATGTTACTTTTAATGAGTCTTGTCCAAAAAATGTCGGGAAAAACATTTCTTTCCATGTGTCGTACCCCAAATTTGTCCTACCTCGATGGTTTTATTTTTCGAGATTAAAATAGAAGAAATATTTAATTAAAGATGGTACAGCAGTATCTGATGGCCTATCTTTATCCAAGACTGGGGGGGGGGTATATCTTAACCCAGGAGAGTGGGGCTTTCTAAATCGGAAAGACTCATAAATCCGTTCGCGAGACATGTTGGCGAATGGCCCATGCAATTCGAAATCAATTATTCGAGCAACTATTAAGTTCTTAAGTATTGAACAACTGTTATTAAGAAGAGAAATGGGAAATTAAACAATCACTAAGTTAGCCCACTTGGCATTTGTGAGCAAAATTATTATTTTGATTTTGAGTAAGAGTTTTAAATTATTTTTATGTAATAAAGGATTTTGAAAAGGGTGTTATTAGCAAGACTCTTTGATCTTATTTTTAAAAATAAATACATATTATGAAGAAAAATATAATTGCTGACAAGTTCCGTTTTTATATTAAAGAAAATTGTTTATTTTTTTAAGTAAATAAATAAACAATATATTTTCTCTTTTAAGAAAAAACTAAAACGTTTTTTAGGCCCAATTAAATTTAAAAAATGGAGTTTTTGTTGCAAAAGAAAATGTGTTGGGCTGAAAGTGCTGGTAGGCCCAAAAGCAAGTAATGGTTACTTACCAAGATTATGCACGTTTTTTATTGTTGTTAACAGTTGCTGTAGAAATTTGGAATAAAAAAAACAAGTATTGTTGGGCCTAATTCAATAGAAATCAGCGCTGGTCCAATTGAAGCAAAAAATAACATACACTATTTCAATTAAACCCAAATCCCGCACGTTTTCCTTTCATTACAGCTACTGTAGAGATCAATATTCAATCAAAATCCAAAACTAAAACTAAACCAAATCTTCAATAGAAAGCCTAGAAATCAAATATCAATTAAACTAAAACTAAT